TAACTTCAAAATATAGGTCATTCATCAGTCAGGAATTATTAACTTATTCAGATTTATCAGGACTTTGGGCTTCGAGCTTTCGATTTGCAAATTCAGTCTAGTGATACAGGTGGCTCAAAATACTCCATAATAGCCCCTAATAATTTCAAGAAGATGACACGGAATCCCATCCAGACGTCTTCTTCGCTGTTGGCCCATGGACCAGAGTCTTTGAGCGTATAAATGCCATTTTGGATTTTCTTTGGGTCTGGTTTCACGTAGATGGCGATCTTTGGACTGCACGGATGAAGGCCGAAACCCTGAAACCGTTCTGTAGGTGTCAAGCGTTTCAACCCGGCTACACTCTGAAGATGATTCTGGCATTCAGGAAATAAACACTCGCACTGGTTTCGTATATCTCAGGAGCCAGATTTTTGATAAAGGTGATTTACTTCACCTGCTCTTACTAACTGGGTTTATTAGAAAGCCTGCGTAGCAAACAGTGAGGACAGGCACAGGTACCTATCTCGGTACCAACAGTAAACCAGGGGTCAATGATTATTGTTCAGACCTGGATCAGGACCATTTTTGAGCGGATCTGGACTCAAAGGGCCAAGAAAGAGTATGCTTTAATGATCACAAACCATGGGTTTAACCTGGAATACTGGTTGCTAGATTCATTGCTGAATAATCACAGGTATCAAATTGATCTCTGTAGGAAATACTCGGATACATATTTTAAGGTTAAATCTGGAAAATTACTTATTCAATGTATTTCACCTGGAGAATCGAAAACACAGCTCCAAACGATTGACACAGATTCAATCCCTATTTATTCCTTCTTTTCCTCAAATGTTATTTGAAGTACTGGTGATATTTTGACCCCATCTATACATTACCGAGAGGAGCAGAGAAAGTTCAGGAATGTATGTGGATCCAAAATGAGTTTTTGATCCAGACTTATCTATCTTTCTCCCGAACTCCTCATGTACCTGGGTTTTTCCTCCGACGTCTAGGAAGATTTCTTCAGCGGTCAACCATCGTGACTGATTGTTTGTGGTAGATGAAACAGTAACTGCAGGTTGTATAAACATATTTAGGCACCTATTGACTGATCATATCTAAGCACTTCTGCAATGTGAGGCCTTCTAAAATAGTAATGCAGTTGCATGGTACATTCTCAATGTACTTATAGTCTGTTAAACATAGTATTTCGAGATCAGACAAGAAATCATGGAATATAGATAATAATAGATAAAAGCTAGTTGCTCTAGAATCTCATTCTGGGTCCAGTAAGTCAAGCATTCAAAATGGTTATTTCCCTGATATGAGGACAAACCTGAGCTAATTCACTATACTAAAGAAGAACCATTTGTTTTTATTACTAATTCTGGACATTTCATTGGACGTATCTAAATCAAACGTAGGTACGTCTCAAATTCAGTATCAATGGACACAGTGTATATAATTACATTTCAAATGATTGATGGTAATTTAAAGGACATTTTACAATTTTCCCCCAACGCCTGGTGGTGTTAACACTGTAATGCTAACGAACTTTGCTGTGCTTCTTGATGTAGTAAGTGTACCTGATTACTCGTCCTCAGCTAAGTGACTTTTTCACTATTGGATGATGTCTAGTCGCCATTCCTACTGAAAATTCCTGAATTTGGCCTGAAGATAATGCATGATAAGTTGTATATCCCCAATTTACACTCAAACCTTCAATTACTTCCTTACTGAGATTCCTATATCGTAGGACAAATGGATAATATTGTTTTATACATATAATGTGGTTAGGCGGAGAAAATTCAAACAGTTTTGAAACTTGAAGTATTTATATATATATACAGGGTATTTCTAATTCGAAGGAGGTAATTTCTTGGCTTATTTTACGACCAAGAAGGATATTCTGTCTAGAATCGCATCATTTTTGAAATACAGGACGTCGAAGTCGAGAATATGCGTAGATTTTTCTGTCGTTCACCCTTTTCGTCATGGCAAAATTCAGTCTACTATGGATTTTGCCAATTGTTATCACTATTTTAGTTGTCTTCGGGGTCGCACAATTCATTGGAATAATTACCAATTTTTGTTCGTCGGCTGCCGCTCTGTAACTTGAAGAAGAATCAAATTAGTTCATACGTTCATAGATCTTTGAATTCTAAGGAGAGCGAAGATTTTACCCTCTTCAATATGTTTTTCAAAGTCCCAAAATGACAATAGAATTCGGATCACACGGTATAACTTCTGAAGAAGTTTTCAGTCTCACTTTGTTAGATCATCATGTATAATAGCTTCGATGAAATTTCAAACATTTCAGTTCAAAAAATGTTGGAGATACATATTTTTGGATATAGGTACTATAAAGAAACCTCAAAAATTTCCATAAAAATCGTGATAGGTAGGTAACTACAAAAAATTTGAAATGAGTATATACATGAGAAATCTCAGAAAAAAATATAGAATTCAAAAATGCAATGAAATATTGGGTGTTTCAGTTGAAATACAAAAAATTCATGTGCACTTCAATCTGGTAAAACCAAAAGTGCTACGCCACTATATTTCAAATCAATTGTTCATATTGACTCATGTCTTGCTCAGAATTTTCAAATCCTAATTCGATTGGGGGCATAGAAATCTTTGAATGAACGAGTTACGTGATATACCCTGTATAAACAGGGTGTCCGAAAAGATACCGAAAAACTTCAAGGGGTGATAGGGGACATCATTTTTTAAATATAAACATACGTCCACAAACGAGCCGTTTGAGCTGTAGAGCAAAAAAACTGTTTGGTACTCATAATACTGCGCAATAATTGAATCACTGTTGTTTCTTATCAATAATTATGTAAAATGTTGACCATTGACTTCAATGCAAAGATTGCACCGTCGTGTCATTGACTCACGAATCCTTTGGAATTCCGGGATAGCTTCTACGTGGGTACAACTTGCCATTATCTTTGGCAAATTCTCCTCATTGCGAACAGGTATTTCGTAGACTGAACATTTCAGATAACCCCAAAGAAAAAAAATTGAAGGTTTGAGATCAGGCCAGGCCACGAGAAAGACCTCCTCTTCCTATGCAGCGTTGTGAAAATTGCTGATATAAATACCGGCGCACGTTTACAACAAAATTTCTAGGTGTCTCGTCATGTTGAAACAGCATGTTATTTCTAGGGTTTGAGGTATCTTTTGCAATAATAGAGGCAACATATTTTGCAAAAAATGGAGATAAATATCTGCGCTCACAGACAATTATTGTTGATGTCTTCAGGGGCCACAGCGTGCTTATTTTCATCATGCCAAATAATGCTGGTCTTGCTATTGGATAACCATCGCGCTAAAACACCCAAAAAGTTCGTTGTGATCCAAAAACTATTCGCAAAAAGCTGATCTGTGTGGATAACATTCAGAATTTGAAGCTGGTGAACGAAACGGGTGGAGAAGTTGTTCCTGAAGGACTCGGTATACCGTCATCCTAAAGGATCCCATATTGTGTGCAATTACACGAACACATGTAGAGTGATTTTCTTCCACGCAGTGTAAAACTGTATGAGCTGTTCTTGGGTCTTCAGTGTTAAGTCGTAAGATTCGAGTCAGAAGTTTCTAATCGTAAGGGGAAAATGGTGATTCGAGCAGCAATCATAAGGACTGACATATCATAAAAAACACCTCTTCTCTGCTCATTTTGTTAATTGTTTATCAGTTAAATATACATATGTTTTTGGTAACACAGAAATGATTATTCCTATTATTAACAGGTGCAAATATCCGTTTTGGATTCGATCTGGCTGAAACAATGTAAACAGACAGTATTTAATGTAAACAAAACCAAGACGTGTATGAACGTTTATATTGACTGAACTTCCTTAGATTTATGATTGGATATTTACGACTTAAAACTGCTGCATAAATTCACTATAAGTCGTTCAGTCCCTCTGAGACGGTGATGGATGAAAGCAAAAGTTGTATGATGAGGTTGCCTACGCTCCAGATAGCTCTATTGATACAAGCGAGCTGTTTCTCTTCCATTGCACCGAACTGCCAGGTGCATATCGGCATGTTCCCCAAAAGATAAATGACGATTCCAAGATAGGAACTTTCGAAATGTTTATGAGAAACAAACGTTTCTGCAACTTGTGACAAAAAACGGGTGGAGAACTTTTTTCCTACAACTGTGAAAATATCTACACTTTTTCAATGTATTTTGTGTGCCTAAAGTGTATAATTTTCCAATATCAAAATACTGTTCCATTATTTTCCGGAAAACTGTGAAAAAAGTACACTCCTTCTCACAGTTGTTGCTAGGCGATGAGATAAATGATTATGTGAAAGGGGCCCATACACTGCGTTGTTGGTAGGCTGTCTTTTCGAACAAAAATGACGCAAAACCGAAGTGTGTGAGTGCAAAATGGTCGCTTCCGCTAGCCACACACCAGAGACTTCATTTTTGCGTCATTTTTGTTCGAGCATACTTGTTCGACGAACAAAACAGTCCACCAACAACGTAGTCTATGGGCTCCTTGACGGGATTCAGCAAAGCACCAAGCGAACGAATCAAGGCAGCTGACTCCGTATTTCGTAAGGAGTACCAGTGAATCTCACTTATGATTTGATCGGTATCGATGAAAGCGACCAAGATGAGCGATTTATTCGAATTAGCCGAAGCTGCTAATCATTTACATCATAAGTCGAATCGGGTTGTAGTCTTTCCACTCATAGGAACCGCCGTCAACATTTCCAGCTCGTAAAAATAAAGTACCACTCTACACACTTCTAACATAAATAAATATTGATTTTTTGCGTGTGATTTCAATAGTTTTTTGCTTTAAGGCCCAATCGGCTCATTTGCGGACATATGTGAACATAAACAAGAATGCCTGTCCCGTCGCAGTTTGTCGGTATCTTTTCGAGACACTGTATAAGTACCAACCCCATGTTTCAAACCTGTTGGAATTTTTTCCACCAAGAATCATATTTAGATTGGCTTATTGACGGAGTTTCAATTTTCACCACAGGCCTTTGCGTGGTTCAGCGACTTACTGGTTGAACACGCTGAAATATTTTGGTCTTTATTTGCTGTCGACATGGACAGAGTCCTCGCAGAGCAACCAGCCGACACGTGGGACTCTTTTCCGTTATTTCAAATTCTCAACGACTATCTCAGAGCTGACGGTGAGAGGTACCTTGCAAGTTGCAACTAGGTTTTTTGTCACGATCGATTTCGTTTGCAGATAATCTGAAGAATGGCAGGTTTCATCAACATCTCCGAGACACGTTCGCACCTTTGGTGGTTCGTTACGTAGATTTGATGGAATCGTCTATAGCGCAGTCTATACACAAAGGTTTCGAAAAGGAACGATGGGAAATAAAAGGGTAAGTTGAAACTCAGTGAACTGTTCTTTATTCATTTTTCATTCATGATCTTAACACTGATGCTTTGAATGATCACTTTGCCTTCAACTTTGATCTTACTTCGTCTATGAATTACCATCACCTGTACACTATTTTCAAACTTGTGTTGTTAATCTATTTACGCTGTTCTGATCTGGTCTCCAAGGGCCGTCAAGTACTTAATATTGAATCTTTAACTAGGAAGAGAATATTGGACATAGCCCTCACCAATGAACTCAATAAAAACACCGCTCTCACAAAGAGATAACCGTTTACACAGCTGCCTCCGTGTTGAACTAAGCTGTTTCCCGGAGATCTCATGGTCTGCTGCACCGACTTGTTATACTGTATCTAGACTGCTAGTCGTCATATCACAGCAACCCGAAAACTTAGGGTCATTTGCTCGCCTGGAAACGCTTCTGCTCAACACGCAGGAACCCCCAAGCTGTCGTTCATGACTTTGCCGTGGTATCGAAATCAACCTAGTCTCCATTTTGGTCGTAGATGGCGGTTGGTGAATGACGTCGTCTCAATTGTTTTATCTATGTCAGTGGCCGGCTCAATAAAGATATAATATCGTATTAAGGGGTGATATTAATTTTTTTGTTTTATTCTCGCCAATTCTAGGAAATATGAAGTGGTTCGTTATTTGCTGTAAGAATTCAAGAATGTTCAATGATACTAAAGGTATTTCCTTTCATTGGTGAGTTTGTGGCTAATTTATAATTTATTATTTAAATCAGTTGAGCAAGTATTTACATTGAATGAAATCATGCATGTTTTGTATAATCGTTCATCTGTGAAGAATTTGAGTTGGAGTAAAAGTTTTACTCATTCAATAATGACTAGAATTCTTATTGATTAGATAAATCAATGGTTTGAGGCTATTAGGAGACTATTGGATCTAATATAGCCATTCAGGAATAATATGTTCAGACTATTTCATGCCAGACAGCTTTCTGATGCTTCTGAAATAGAGTTCTTAAATCTGAGTGTTGGAAGGATGAGGGCCGAAAGCCCGAAACACGTGTATACGGTTATCTCTTTGTGAGGACTAAGTCCAATGATCCCTTCAAAGTTACTTACAGTTCCCTCGATATCTTTTTCATCATTAAATTTATACTTACTTATTCTTCTTCTTAGAAAAATATCAAGATTCCTAACATGAGTTTATTCACGTAATATTGCTCGGTAAAAAATTCTATCAATGCCTCATAAATAGAATCAGGATCTTTCCCATTCTTATACCTAAATGTTAACTGTCATTAAAATTAAAAATAGATCATAGAATTTGATGATTTCACCGAGTATTTCACACAGATTAATTCTAAAAATAAAAGGAAATGAATAGTACATTTCACTTGATTATTTGGGATTCCTCTCCTCTTCTTTACAAAATGAAAATATGAGTATTATTTCAATAGCTATATATGTAGTTGGACAAATTAGGTGATTTGCCCCAAAATGTCACTGCGTTTAACAATTTTTTTATCGGGAAGCCTAAAAAAATACAATAGCTTGTCAGTAACACTTATTTGTTTGGAAAAAAGAAGAAAAGATATAGATATATTGAAAAAATATCGAATATCTACTCATCTTTGGACGTTTCGGGAACGAATTTGCTCCCTGCCTCAACATAAAAATGCGAAATATTTTCCTTCGAGAATTCTGTTCCTATAGTTTGACACTTCTCAATGTCATACTAATGTTGGCATATGGATAAGTAATGATGTTAGTATACGAATGAGTTTCAGGATGTTTTCATTTATTGATCTCGAATCTACCATTTTCAAAGCTAACTGAACATATCCTTACTGAAAAAAGTGGACAACATATAGCAGAGTGATTAAGAAAGAAGAAGAGAAGAAAGATTAAGGAATCCGCTTGCATTTTTCTGAACGGAGACAATAGCATTGCTTCCTGTTCAATTGATACACAGGCAACCAGATGACGTTTCAGTGACGTCTTTTTATGTCAGTTGAATGACCAATGTGGCGTCAGAACTTGACATCGTATGACGTGATAAATGACGTGAATAAGTCACAGCCAAATGACATCATATATTACTCATGTTTATTGACGCCCCTGTAATTCGAGCTCGAGCATGGGGATCTCAGTTATCTTGAGAGACCTACCTTTTTTAGTTTTCAAGATATCGCCGAAAAACTGAATTTTGCGATTTCCGTTTTTATTTTTCCATAGGGAAACCGATCAAGTTAGCCATTTTTAACCGAAACATTCTCGAAACAGTTTTCTGCAAATAATTCGAAAATGATATCACTTTTTTTTAACACACGAAGAACAAAACAAACGACAGTCAACTTATTTTTTCGTATGGACGCCTTATTGAATTTTTATATTTTTGAACGACGATGTACTACACAACATGTTTAGGTTTCATATCATGGTCTAAATTTCCTAATTAACATTTTTTCTAAGATTGCCATGGAAACAAATTTGTCGAATTTGTTGATTTCGAATCTTGACAGTTCAGTACAGTTTCAACTCTAGAAGTTCACACTTTCAGATTGCAAAATGCAATTTTCCAATGAAGAACAGAGAGATAATAATATGTTGAAAATGAATTTTTTTAATTAACAGATAAATGTGAACCGATCAGAACAAACAAATCAAGGGCAAAATATAAATAATCAGAGAAGCTGTTCGAACTGTCTACCTTCCATCAGTATACATAATTCTGCACGTTTTCTTATATTCAATTGCGATTGCTCTCTCGATACTTCTTCTTCTTATCTGTCTCAAGGAGTCAATAATACTTTGTCGAATGACATTAATATCGACTGGCACAGTTTTATGAACTGTATTTTTCATTGTGCCCCATAAAATTATTCCAAGGGTGATAAGTCTGGAGAACGCGCTGGCCAACGTACATCACCACTATTCGCAATAACCCTATCAGGAAACATTGCTGACAAATATTCTGTAACCCTTCTGGCATTATGCGGAGGCGCACCGTCTTGCTGAAACCATAAATCACGCAGGCGGTTGAGATTAATATTGCGCAACTTTGCCCTAATTTGAGCAACATCGTATCTCTCAAGATAACCGAGATCCTCACGCTTAAGCTCGAATCACGGGCACCCTGTATATATGTACGTCACAAACCTAACGGTTTCACATGATAATGTAAGTGTACATGATTTGGAGATGGTCTAGGAAACATGGACGTCGACAGGACGTCGCCCTGCAACGTCATGAAACTGACGTCTTATTTCACTCTTCTAAGTGACGTTCACTCGACGTCGAGATGATGACGTGATTATCACGTCATAGAAAGAACGTCATAGTGACGTCATAAATTGGTGTGTGACTACTCTGACAAGAAATCACCAATTAGGGACGTCACAGTGACGTGATCATTCGTCATCTGGTAACCACCCTGTACCTATGATTGCAGAATGGGCTGTGCGACTTCGGAAGACCTCTTCTGGAAATTGGACGCCCTCCAGTCTTTCATAAGGGACTTGCATTGGCCAGATGCGGAGTTCAGACAACATTTGGAGCAGCGCTTGAAGCTGATGGCTTGCGACATGATGGAATCCTGCATACAAAGGACCGAGTCCGCTTTCCATCAGTGGTTGAAGAAGTCCGTTACGTTCATTTCCACCGATTACATAATACCATCAGAGATTTGCGCTATGGTCAATGTCATCCTGGACGCGAAGAATCAATCTCTTAAATTATGCGCGGTTGATGGAATAGATTTGGTGAGTGGACAACTATTGCGAACAGTCTCAGAAATGTTTTTACACTTGATCCGACGTTTATTCAACGTTATCTACTCTTTGATCCTTATATAGACGTTTCGAATTTGGTTCTGACAATATCTAACAGTTCATTGATACTGTAGGAAATACATTTATTTCAAACAAAATTCAGAAGTGCATTTTCAACTAGTTTGTAAATTGTTTTCCATTCAATGGTTGGTATTCATCTTGAAATATATGTATCGCAGCCAGCAAATCACCATATGAACTGACAGCCGAGCAGCGATCAAGGCACTCACCTTGTATATAGAGTACATAGATTAGTGGTTCACGAGACCAAGACTGATCAGTCTTGGTCTTGGTCTCGAAAAATAAATGTAGTCTTTGTCTTGGTATTCGTCTTGATAGCCTTGGTCTCAAATCAAAATTCGTCTTATTGAATTATTCAAATTATTCAGTTCAAATATCCAACAGTTCATATGCATATTAGAGGTATTTCGTATTCCCGAGTCTTCAAAATTGTCAATTTGTGCGTATAAAGTAAGAGGAAAAATGTCTCTTTTTACCATGAGAATATAATTTTTGAGGAATCTTAAATAAACATTAAATGAGACTCGAACAGCGAACAGGCCAACGCTCGACAGGCCAGAAAAAATGTTCAAAAGGGACGGAACTGACAACAACGCATTATCAAAATATTTTGAAAAAATTCAAATTCAAACCAAATAACTTTTGTAGTAAAATTGTTTCTATCTTCAATAGAAGGATTTATGGACCACTGTGACCTCACACAATACACCTATTTGTTGTAAACTCCGAAACTGCAATACTGAATTAAAAAAATATGCACCATATGACAAATGAATAACTGCAATAAAATGCCATCACATTTTCCATCAGATTTTTCTCAATATTGAGTAGATTTAAGTTCATTATTTTTCTCTCGAGACCATCAATACCAAGCCTCTTGGAAGAGAGTCTTAACCCTTAATTACTCGCGCTGGTGTATTTTGTTCACCAGCGCCAAATTTCCTGCTACCATCGAACGTACAATTTTTTTGTGGCTCTAGACTCCCACCTAACCTATGTCTAACATGGCTGGGATGTGATAGATCAGTTTTGTGTGTGTGTTTGTACGTAAATTTTGACGCGTCGTCACGTTGGTGCCTAGAATACAATACACTGCGTAGGAAATAGGGTAAATTATCTAAGTATTCAATATTGTATACAAACACGATAGTTGTGTATTATGTGGACGCACTGAAAACAGAGTGAATTTTTTTTAAAATTGCATTTCCTCGTTGGACCCAGCACTGGATCCAACGCCCCATAAGTCGAAACTTGTGCGGGGTTAGGAAAGCATACGTTTTTGTTTCACCTAAAAACAAGTCAAATTCATGGTGGTGTACAAAATACACCGCGCGGGAAAAAGTTCGAATTAATTAGCGCGAGTAATCAAGGGTTAATCTTGGTCTTGGTCTCGAAAGTCAAGTCTTAGTCTTGGAAAGATTTATTAAGTCTTGGTCTTGTATCAAGAACAAGACAAGGCCAAGACTGGACTCTTGGTCTCGCGAAGCCCTAATATAGATAGTCTAGAAAAGCTGTCGGCAACTAACAAAATATGTCTTCTGTGGGTCCCTCTGGGCACTGGGATGAAATAAAAAATCCAGGCCCGTATTGAAATAAAAATAAGTTGATGATGGTTTCTGGAAGACGAAAAGTCGGATTTCAAATTTGAGAAAACGCTATCATGTAGGTAAAAAAAAGTTGCCATGATAAAAGTTTTATTCATATCGATTGATCTCTTCAAATAACGCCAGAAAATTTTGATTTTTGTCGGATATCTCCGAAAGTATTCGGAATTTTGCAAGTTTCCGAACGACATTTTGTTATCCATCAAATTGCGCAACTGTGCCATAATTTAACCGACCCTGTACCTATTTATCACGGTTTACGAAATTCCAATAATGAGGCTCGAATTCCAGCCACCCTGTACTATAGCATTGATTTTTAAGTACCGTTGCATAACCTTAATGGGATCTAACGATTGAGTTATATAAGGAACATGGTTTCAAGAAGAAACTTCTTGTACTAATTATTGCATTTTCAGCACCAATATCACACGAAAATAGACGATATGATCGAAAAAACGAATGCCAATATCGTTCAAGGTTTGATTAGCAAGATGATGTCTGTTCTGGAAGGTACTCTATCCAAGTTATCGAGATACGACGAGGGAAGCCTAATAGGTTCAATTTTGAGCTTCACGGTACTTACACTGAAAAAAGTGGACACTGGGAAAGTTTCCTTCTGATGAGTTTTCATCAAATTGTTTTCACACTGGTTAGCTTCATGACTTTGCAACGCCAATAAAAGTAATTCAAATATTTTCCTGTGTTGCTTTAGCTTTTTTATGTCAAGAAAATATCAAATACATATTTCTCAATTTTTTAAATTATTCAACTGTGAACTGTCGATATGTTTCGATATTCATTGATGTATAGTAAATGTCACTAATAAACATTTTATCCCTATCACCAATTCCACAAGTTATGAGCTCATTTTTTTCCAGAAACTACTGTTCAGGCCTATTTTTGAATGATTTATTCCAATATAATAGGAAATATCGGGGAGTTCAGTCCATCGGGCTACAAGCAAACTATACTTTACTGCTATGCCAAGCTTTCGAAAATTTTCATTTTCTTCTTCAAGGCTGAAACAATATATGGTATATGAAACATCTTGTTACAATTCGTTTCAACAAAAACAAGAACTTTATTGCAATGTGAGTCTAAAGGTATAAATTGGAATAATAATGAGTATAAGAAATATAGATGTATACATAAAATTGATAGGACAGAGACAAAAGTCATATGATTTATATACCGGAAGCAATGAATGTATGAAATTAGATTGTTGTTGAATATCTTATAAGTTAGAGTCAATTTGAATATCATCATGAACAAAAGATAATAAATAAGAATTTATCTGACTGGGATTATCAATATCTGTTTTTCCATTCATAATATATATCTCATTATCAATTTCAACTATCTCCTTAAACAGTATTTTTGTTGATTTTTTTTCTGAATGCAAAATTTTGTTTTCCTCGAATCTCATATGATGATCATTAGTGATGACGTGTTCAGCGAGACCAGAATCGCTTTTGAGAAGTCTGCAATCACGTTTATGGCCAGATATATTTTTTTATCGCTTGGGGCGCACGAAAGGAAATCTCTATAATGTTCGGCGAACATCGTGCGTTCCTAGGGAGGATAGATACAGGAGGTAGGTATTGGAATTTTTTTTTGAACTTCTGGAGATTATATGTTGTTGGGAACACTTCCTCAGGCAATGAATTCCAGAGCCTAGCCGTTCTATGGATGAAGGAGTTTTGATAAAGTGCTGTTCGACATCTTTCGATGTTGACACCGAAAGGATGTGCTGACTGAGCTTGTCTAGTGAAAGGTCGCCGACCTTTCTACGGTGTTCCAATGATGTCAAAGATTGAGTGAGTGTGGCGTCACCCACCAGGCGGATGGCTCTTCTCCGGATGGAATCTAAGAGCATCAGCGTATGTTTTGGTGCTGAACCCCATATGTGGGAACAGTATTCTAGAACAGGCCGTATCTGCGCTTTGTAGATCATGAGAAGCTGTTGAGGTGTAAAGTAGCTTTTCGCACGGAACAAGAATCCGAGTTTTTGTGAAGCAGCATTTGCGATGGATCTGACATGATTATCCCATGAAAGAGTGTTGCTGATGGAAATACCGAGCATAGATATAGTGGGCTTGGTGGAGATGGTGGTGCTAGACATTACAATATCGGGTATACTGAGTTCCGCCTTTCTAGAGAAAATACAGGCTTGTGTTTTGGTGGCGTTGAACTCAACTAGGTTGTTGGTTCCTCAGGCTGTGATTTCAGCAAGGTCTTCATTGACAGCATTGACCTGCCTGCGCCGTGAGTTCTTAGTTTCCTGGGAAGAAATGGGAATTCTGGAAGAGAACGCAGTATGGAGGGTACTATCATCTTCAAAGCTGTGGATGGGGCAAGTTGTTACTCCCAACAGATCATTGATATGAAGAAGGAATAATGTTGGTGCTAAAATTGATCCTTGTGGAACACCGGAATTGATGCCAATGGTATCAGACGATTCAACGTCCACCACCACGTGAAGCGATCTGCCTAAAAGAAAACTCGATAAGAGATGGCATAGCTGAGGTGGTAAGCCGTATGATGGTAGTTTGTGGAGGAGTCCTTCGTGCCAAACACGGTCGAATGCTTTCGATATGTCCAACGCGACAGCTATAAATAAGAAAACAGATATTGATTATCTCAGTCAGATATATTCTTATTTATCATCTTTTGTTCATGATGATATTCAAAATGACTCTACCTTATGAGATATTCACCAACAATCTAATTTCATGATTTCTTTCTTTCCTGTATATAATTTTATATGACTCGTCACTGTCCCATCAATTTTATGTTATACATCATCCATATTTTTTTTATTCATCACCATTCCAATTTATACCTTTTAACCCACATTGCATCAAGTAAGTTCTTGTTTTTGATGAATCGAATTGTAATAAAATGTTCCATATACCATTGTTTCAGCCTTGAAGATCAAAATGAAAGTTATCGAAAGCTTGGCATAGCAATGAAGTAGTTTTCTTGTAGCCCGATTGAGTGAACTCTTCGATATTTCCTATTATATCATAATATGATCCAGTCGATAAACTATTCAATAAACAGATTTATTCGAAGTTAGATATCTGAGCCTATGGAAAAAATGGATGGTTTACCATAAATTAAAATGAAGGAAACTTCCCCAATGCAAATAGCGTGCCGACTATAATGCTGTTTTTTTTTCAGAACGTTTCCGGGTCTGGTAAAGACATGGGACAAGGTTATGTGAATTTCACGCGCAACTGCATGGAACAAATCAGGCAGAAAATAACAGATGAACTGTGGATTCTAACGTTCTTCGAACAGTGGTACACCAGCCAAATAAATATGCTCTGTAACTGGCTATCAGAAAGATTAGATCATTCGTTGCATCCCTATCAATGTACGTGCCTTGTTCATATCATTAAGGTAAGTCAAGTTCTGAATCTATAAAGAGGTTGGGTCATTAGAAAACTGTACATTGGGTGAGTGAAACTTACGAAGTCGCTGAAGGGCCACCTATAAATTTTTTTGAAGAATCCCGACTTCAAAGTCGGGGGTCCGACTTTAAAGTCGGGATCCCGAGATTAAAGTCGGGGGTCCGAGATTGGAGTCGGGGGTCCGACTTTAAAGTCGGGATCCCCAGAATAAATTCGGACCCCCGACTTTAAAGTCGGGTTTCAAAAAAAAAGTATAGGTGGCCCTTCAGCGCCTTCGTAAAAACTCGATGTCTCAGCTCCAGTATAAGAAAAAGAGAAGCGATAGGAAAAATACATTGTTTTTCTGTGGATTTTCAATAATGGCCGCATGTTACTAAAATACTGGAGTTGTTGACTTGCTTCAGATTTATGGTGAGTGTCGTTTATACACGAAATCATCCAACACAGCTAATGTTTGTTAATTTGATGCACAATTGTCCTGATTCCGTGAAACTTGAAGACGGCCTGTATCCCTGATAGCACAATTGTCCTTTGGACATCCCGTTGGGGCATTCAGAACATCAATGAGACGTTCGAATTTGGCTCCATGAACGTCCATTAGACGTCTGTGGGACGCACAAATGTCCCACTTGGGAACCAACTAGGGACGTTCTTAGGGGATGCCCCTCAGACAACTATCGAATACTTAAATTCTATAGGATTTCTCATCAAGCACTATGGAGGACATCCGTAGGACAACCCATCAGCAACCCTGAGGGATATATTAATTGGATGTCCATAGGATGTCTCAGGGACGAACGAATTGATTTTTAATTTGAATCTATTTGGGTCTCCCTAGGACCAGATCTTACTTGATAGTTGATATAGTCCGTAGAAGATCCCCAATAGTTCCTGAAGAGATTTTTTCATTTACTATGTACTTACGTGAAGGACATTGACGGGGAGTATTTATAGCCTACGAGCAATCCATCGTCGGCGAGGTGTACGCAGGGACAACATGTGAAACGTACTGACTGGGACGTCCGTAAGACGTTATTTCTAGGACATTGGGAGAAAAATTGATCATTCGATTGCGTGAAGGACATTTATATGGGATGTCTATCTGAAAATCTGAGGCCAATGTATACCACCGATGGATGCCCCTTAGGGCACACTTCGTATCGTATCCAGGACATTCTGAGGACGTCCTTGGGACGTCCATAAGACGTTGTACTGATGACATCTAATGAAATTATATTCCCTGAAAAATATTCTTATACCAATATTACTCAGATGAACATATGGATTATCTATAGGTGTTCCTTCCGAAGTCATAATAGCTCATGTAACTATTGTGACCTCCGACGGATGTCCCTAAGGTACATTTCATATGTAATAATAATAATAATAATAATAATAATCTTTATTTGTAAAAAACAACCAAATACAAACATGAACAACCTGTAAAGGGTGTTTGAAACAAACGGGCGTCAACACACAAGTAAACCATTACACAGACGGTTATAGGTATAAGAATTATGCACACATATATCCATTTAGTACAAACAGGTAACGACAAATATGAAAATCATTCGAGTTGTGACTCTAAATAATCATTTATGGAGTATGGCTCTAAATTAATCAATAATTTCCAAATTTCTTGCTTGAAAACATTCGGAGAAGAGACAGATTTAATTCTTACTGGCAACTTGTTGAAGAATTTTAGAGAAGTATATAAAGCATTTCTTTCTGTCACCGCCAGTCTATGCAGTGGATAATCATAGTTTATGTTTCTGGTATTATAAATGTTTTGGGGTGAATACTCTGAAAAAAAACTGTTTATTTTTAGCAAAGAATAAGATGCATTCTTGAATATATACTGCACTAACTGTTAGTATTTTTGCAGAACGGAACTTACTCCTACACGATTCCTTATACTTCATATTGTATATTATTCTTAACATTCTTTTTTGAATAATGAATAAGTGCTCTACGCAACTACTGCTGCCATAGAACAATATACCATATCTGAAACATGATTCGAAGTTTGCATGGTACACTACTTTGAGACTAAATTGATTTAAGTATTTGGATAGTATTCTTATCGCATAGCTCACTTTACTCAATTTGTTTGCTAATTCGTTAACATGGATATTCCAATTCAGGTAACGGTCTATATTCATACCTAAAAATTTTGTGCTAGGAGCAATTTCTATACTTTGATCATTCAATGTAATGTAACCAGGCACCTCGTAACCGCAATTTTTAGTTGTGAAAAGAACTACATTCGTTTTTTCTTCATTAACGAATTGTTTGTTTTCTGAGAACCAGTTATTTATTTTTTTGAAAACTAAATCAGAATGCTGTAACAAAGATGGTAACTCTTTCTCCTCAATCATGATGTTAGTATCATCAGCATAGTTAACCAATTTACAATCAGAATGGGCTGTCAGGATATCGAACATATCATTCAGATATACTATAAATAAAATAGGACCAGTAATGCTACCCTGGGGCACACCCATGTTGATTTCAGATAGTTGTGATGTGACAGTTTCTTTGTCTTTTTGAATAGAGACTTTTTGTTTTCTATTTTCATGTTATATGATATTGGAAATATCAAAGGCGTCCGTGCAGATATAGACATTTCATGGTTGTTCGGGAAAGGAAATTATATAAGATCTGAAGTGATGTCAGAATATGTAATAAATTGGATATCCGATGGCTATCCCCAAAGGAACGTTTAAAATTGTATCCTATCCGGGACATATCAAGAACGTCCTTGCATCGGCATTGTACAATAAATACAACGTGGGACGTCTAAAGGATGCTATTCCTAGGACATTCTGTGCCAGCTGGGAGATACGATTGACAAAGTTGCTCGGACATGGCATGAGATGTACGGGATGGGACGTCTCAAGGTCAATTATTTTATTTTGGACATTCGGACTTGAATTATACCAAATAGGGACGTCCCTAGGACGTTGTGTGCTATCAAGAATGTATACCTATCAGAAAACATCACGAAATTAATTTTTAAGTGGTTTCAAAACATTTGCATTCGACAAATTTTTGGCATCTCTATAAACAAACCAGTAACTGTGGAAAAACCAAATTGATTCGAACAATTTTCAGAAAATATACTCCGATTTCGAACTTCAAGGCGTCATGGAGGATAAGCTGAATTCCAAAGCTTATCAGACGATAGCTCAGAGAATGCAAACGGAAGAGGCTACCTGTGCTCTCACCATGGGACAAGCAGAAGGGTACGTTATATACAAACTCACTCACTTCTCTGGAACACCGTAAAAAAGTTGGCGATCTGGCTCTATTTTATAGATATTTTCATGGACGATGCTCTTCTAAATTATCAACAATTGTACCTCCCTTGGCAGTCTCCGCGAGATTAACCCGTCGATTTGAGGCTTCGCACCCCTTCGAGGTCACTTTGGAGACCTGCAGAACATCTCTTTAAAAAGACTCGTTCATCCAACGAACAGCGAGGCTCTGGAACACATTGCCAAGGGAGGTATTCCCCGAGGCATATAACCTTCATAAATTCAAGAAGAACTCCAATTCCTACCTTATTCTCCTTGGTTCTCACGATGTTCCCTGAACATTACAGGATATCCCTTTTCGTGGGAACCAGAACATAAAAAATACAGAGGGTGGTCACTTGAGAGAGGAGAGTCAGGAGCTGCTTCTTGCTTCATTTCATTGAATAATACTATCAAATATATGTGGTAGATTTCTCACTTATCTGTGACGTCATCAATGATCCAGCAAACACCCTATAAATCCCGACATCTCTGAGAGGTAACAGTGAAGAAGTATTGCCCTTTTATTTTTCAAGCCTCAAAATATGACGAACATTTCTTTACCAAAACTATGTCGCTCAATGAACTGCAAATCTTTGGAATTATTTGTCTAGGAAAATATCACCAAGAACTTCTAATCTTCTGAAATTCAAAACACCATATAGAAATATGGGAGCTGCAATTTTTTTTCTAGGAAGTGTTCCCAAGAACTTACAACCTCCAGAAATTCAAAAACACCATATAGAAATATTCGAGGTGCTAACCAAAAACTAATATTGTACGCCAAAATCTCTTTTTCTGTCATGTATAACTCAAAACTTTTCTCGAAATTCCTCAACCCTCCTCGGAATACTCCAAAATGTTTTTGGAACACCTTAAATTTCTCTTCAATTTCTATTGAGTTCACAAGGATATTTTCCATGAGAATTTCATGGAATCCCTGGAAATGCTTGATAATTCCTCGAAATTCCAGGAAAATTTCAAATTCTTAGTTTGGGTAGCCTCGAAATGTTCTTTCTCCGAAACTCATCAATTATTTTCTAGTCATTTTCTTCAAAGTTTAAAGAAGATCTTCTGTGAAAAATTCCCGAGATGACCTGAAATGCCTCAAGATTTTATGATATTTCATGATATTTCTTCACTTTCCTTTCCCCGATAGTTCAATATAAGAATTTCGTTGTGGACATTCCATGAAAATTTCCAGAAATTTCCTGAAATTCATCAACAAATAGCAGCCATGAAAATAGTTGTTGAATATTCTGATATATTATGTCCATATATACATTTTTTTCTGAAGGAAAATGCAAATTCCCAAATTCAGAAGATTTTATTTTGAAAATCTCATTGTGTGTGTTCAATAGCTGTAATTCAATGTGAGTCATGACATATAGCTAGAAAAGTAGATGTTTTCTGCTGAATTCTCAATATATTTCTTTATATGTATCCAGCTTTTTTCATGTCCATAATATATCTGAAAATACTCCTTCACAATTCACTTCATTTTCTACTTCTATTTAGTTTGCCTAGTTGCTGTGAGTACCCAATTTTGAAGAAAGAATCTCCGCCCCGTAAACCCCCAGACACAAGATTTGAATAGAATCGGATCATATATTGGGTCCGCCATCTTGAATTTTCCAATTTCGACAAAAGAATCATAATTTTTGACCCCACTAACTCCCAGATTCCAATTTTGAATGCATTCGGATCACCATTTGTTGAAGTTACTTCAGGTGTTCCACAAGGGTCACATCTGGGTCCACTATTATTCCTAATTTTCATCAATGACATTACCACATGCTTTGAAAATTCCAATTTTAGTCTATATGCTGACGATCTCAAAATATATAAACCAGTTCAATCCATATCTGATTGTCAAAAACTACAGGAGGATATTACTAGATTGACTGACTATTGTACAACAAATTACCTTTCATTAAATGTAAGCAAGTGTATGAAAATATCCTTCTCTAGACTGCATAGTGAATTGGACTACAATTATTGCATTGGAAACCAGAATCTGAAAAATGTTCCAAATATTAAGGATCTAGGGGTACACTTGGACAAAAAACTCTGTTTTGACATACACATTGAACATATCGTTAAGAAAGCTTTGCGGAATTTGGGTTTTATAATGAGGGTAACTAGGCAATTTCGATCTCAAAAATGTTTGATATTACTGTACAACTGTCTTGTTCGCTCTCATCTCGAATATGCATCAATAATTTGGAATCCACATTATGTAAAATATATTGAGAGAGTTGAGAGAGTTCAAATCAAATTTATTAAGTACTTAAATTTTAGATTCAACAGAATGAATCATTACAATTCGTATGACTACAATATTGTAGAATATAATATGTTCAAACTATCTTCTAGAAGAACTGTTAGCTTCATAATTTTCTTGCAAAAACTGGTGTCTGGTTTCATTAACTGTCCAAGTATCTTGGGTAAATTGAATTTCAATGTTGGTAGACGTTCCTTACGATCTCCGAATCTGTTTTATCCTCAAAGATATAGAACGAATGCGTCAGAGAACTCTCCAATAACTGCTATACAGAGGTTGTATGATCTGTTTTTTTGCCATATTGATATATTTCATGGATCACTTTCAGTAGTTAAACATGCTGCTTATTCAGTATTCAGGTGATATTCATATCCACATATCAAGACTCAAATTATAAGCATGTCATTAGTATTATTAATGTTATTATCATTATTATTATTATTATTATTATTTTTATTATTATTAATCATAATTATTATTATTATTATTATTATTATTATTAATCATTATTATTATTATTATTATTATTATTATCATTATTGTTGTTATTGTTATGATTATTTTTGTTACTATTATCATTATTACGTTATTATTATTATTTTTAATTTCAGAATGCTTTTTCTGAACATTGATATCTATTAAGTTCATTAATCTACGATATATCGTACCGATATTTCATGAATTTATGGAAAAATGTAATATGCGGTTTTCTGTTATTGAGTTGTTAGTTCAACCTGTTGAAAACCCGAATTGGTAAATAAATAAATAAATAAATAAATAAAATTAGGAAACTCGTTCGCCATATTGGATCCGCCATCTTGAATTTTCAATTCCAAAAATACAATCATAATCTCTGACCCCGAAAACTCCATGATACCAATTTTTAATAGAATCGGATCAAAATTACGAAACTTCTGCCATATTGGATCCGCTATTTTGAATTTCAAAATTATGACGACACTGAAAACGTCGAGATACCAATTCCAAGAATTTCTTGTGTCGAAACTATTCATAATTAGTTAAAACGGTTTTTATGTCCCTATCTCAACTTTTCAAGTATATGTACTATCAATTGATATTTAATTGAAATAGATGCAGGGTGGTTGAAAATCTCAATTCTGAACCACCCTGTACCTCTTTTTCAATCAAATATTAATTGATAGTGAATAAAAAGTTGAGATAGAGACATGGAAACCATTTTGACCAATTATGAATCGTTTCGACACAAAAAAAATTTAAAGTTGAAAACTGTCGATATTTCACACCCTAAAAATCTGTAATTGTCACTGCTAGACCCCAAGTGTTATAGGTCGATAAAATCAGCCCTTCAGGGAGAATCTGGAAATGGAATAATATAGAGGGTGTCCCATTCAAAAAATCAAAGCCGTTGCTACTTTTCGAAATAAGCGGCAACATCGCAGCGCTGAGTATATTTTAGGTCGATAGAGCACAACTAATTATCCAAGGCACAAAATTTTCAGAATTATCCCAAGTTACGTTCTCCAGAAACGTCTAATGTCCTTTCCACCGTGAATCAGCCTGTATATATATAAAGAAATACATCGAAAATTCGCATTCTCTATGTGATAAAAATATCAATTTTTTCTCACTTCATTCAACAGAAAACAACTACTTTCCTGGCTATATGCCATGACGAACATTGAATTACATTTATTGAACACACACGATAAGATTTTGAACACAAAACCTTCTAAAGTTGAGAATTTGCATTCTCCTTCAGTTAAAAATATGTATTTGCACATAACATCATTCTGAATATTCAACAGGAAATAACTATACTTTCCTGGCTGTTTGCCACGTCGAATATTGAATTATATCTGTTGAACATTCAAAAGGATAGTATGAAAAATAAAAATCCTTATTTGAAATTGAGAATTGACAATCTCTCAATTCTGTATGATGAATATCAATTTGTCATACATAAAAAAAAAACTTGTAGTAAGTCAACAATAATCATAATTAAAAATGTGTTTTGAAAAAAAAATCATATCCCCCCAAGGTACACATCGTTCTGAATTTCATTATTATATTTCAGGGAAGTAGATGGACTAGACGAAGAAAAGGAAGAAAGCAGAGGCAAGATGAAGGTGACAATAATGGAAAGCTTGAGTGGCGAAGACGGCAACTTCGTCTCTAACGTTGGAACGATGATTGGAGGAAAAGTAGGAAATATTTTCGGTAAAGGGCTAGGCGGGATTGGTTCCAAGTTGGGGGGAGGCACGGGTAGTTGGTTTTGAATTTTTGTGTTACGATACTGAGTTTGGTGATGTCAGTCCCTTCATGTATAATATCATGGGGTAATTGAAGTTATGTAAATAACGTTTTTTTATTGATCAAGATATCACTTAGAGTAAGTTTGACATGTTAAAGTTGTTATCTAATGATGATTATGAAACATTTGAAACATTTTCAATGGAAAAATACACCTTTAGTGTCCGTAACGAAAACTCAATACATTGATAAGGGACCAGAAAAACCTTGTAAAAAATTAACCAGTGATGTGGTCATCAAGTATTTGTTTGTTGAATTTAGATTTTTCAGTTATAGTAGAGTTGACTCCCTATTTGATTGTGTAAATATTGGACAAATAGTGCCGAATTATTCAAATGTTTCTGAATCAAGATCTAAATTTTTTAAAATGAAGCCTAATATTTGCATTTTTTGTCCATTTATATTTATTAGTAGAACTGGAGAGTATTATCAGTTAATTCACAAGTTCTCCATCATTATCTTCAGAATTTTATTCACCCTTTTTATATAACCCATGAAAGACCTATTATTCACACTTCCTCTTAGTAATTGCACTGGATATATGAAACAAGTATGAATTCCTTTGAGTCAAGACATTTTTCATTTGAAATTACGTTCCATGTTATATTATGGGTTGTTTTGAAAGGTAAGGGGCAACAGTTTCTAATTATCAAAATAAACAATATTACCAAAAATCGATCATGTTGCAGTCCTGGCCACAAAAATAGTAATGTAATCGCTATAGGGTGCAAAAATAATTTTATCGTGACACTTTATTTTGCGCTAAACACAAACTGAAACACCTTCAATCAGAGATCAACATCAGATTTGCAATGAGAATTAATGGAATTCTCAATTGTTAATAACTCTAATCATTTGCAATTTTTTAACAGGCGATTTCCGGTGATATAGTTCATTCTGATGGTTAAAAAATACACTTCACTTTTGGAAACAACTTGTATATTCATCAAATATTTCATTCACATTTTCAAAACATCCAAGACATGATTGAAACATTTCAAAATCATCGTATACCCCCACCATATTATTTTGGAATATTCAAACGCAAAAAGCAACATTATGCCAGGGACGAATATCTGTAAATATTCACCAAGCAATAAAATGAGCATAATTAAAGAACCATTTCGAGGGTACGGCGTCTCAGGAAGATATTGAAGTAGAGTCTTTCCATTCCGAAGTCAATTTAAGCAGCGCCAGCAACCCAGACAGTATTAGATATTCCATGAATATTCATAATATATCATTTTTGGATATTGAGAGTATTCATGAACATATCTTCCACAGAATATTTCCTGAATGTTCTGGTGGCGAAGAATGTATATATTCCTAGAATATTTCCTATATATTCAGAATGTACCTTTAATATTCTGGAAATATTCAGATAATATTCGGAATATTCCAGGGATAGTACAGGAATATTGATAAATGAATATTCCTGGAATACTCCACTAAACATATTCATAATTAAAAAAAGCTGACCCAAGATGTATATAACAATTTCTTAAAAAGCGTTGTTCAGAATCGGATCATGAACACTTCATGTTCTAAAATCTTGATACATAATGGAAAAGATGAGCCTATATGGGCTCGAAACATGTACGATGACCTGATTGAGTAATTTGATCCCTATTAAAATTGTGATGAGGGCTTTGTGTTCCTGATTCCTGGTAACTAACCACCCCACTTTGAGATACGATCCCTAACAACACAGGGATGTCCAAGGTACATCCCTTTTTTGTCCCGCGGTACAAGGACATGATTGGGGCATCCAGGGGATGTCGCGCAGTGGTTGTCCAGTGGACATCCCGCCCGGTACATCCATAGGTTATCCTATTCGTGTCCCTGGAATATCTGATATCCATTCACATCAGAGTCATTGAATTTCATCGAAGTATTAAGTTGCATTTTTTTGAAAATGTTTGTTTTTCTTCCGGAAAATAATCGTAGGGATGTCCCTGGGATATCCTTGGGACGTCCTAGGAATATCCTTCCGTCGTACTTGGTACATCCCTGGGACGTTCCAGAAGGACATCCCTAGGATGCCTCTTTTTGTGGAAAGCGAATGCCCCTGGGACGTCCCTAGTATGTACCATGTCCCGACACAGGATATCCCAGGGACGTCCTCGTAGAAAATGAAGGACGTCCTTGGGACGTACTCGTGTTGTTAGGGATGGATTTCTTCCACATTGTTATCATAATAAATGATTGATACTCGCATCTATAAAATATAACATACTTAGTGATTGGTGTTTATACTATATTATATTCCGTTGAAACACATGATAATAATGAATATCGCATATTCCATGAATATACAAATCAGAATATTCAGTTGGGAATACTCCTGGAATATTCATACCTGAATATTCCCTAAACAATCCAACTGGAATATTCATATTTGGATATTCCTTCTGGAATATTCCGTGTATACCACTTTGGAATGTTACTTGAATATTCAAATTTGAATATCCTTCAGATATTCCCAGTAAACACAAACATCCCTGAGATGTCTTATTCATGTCTCGCTAGGTAACAATGCGAATTTCGAGAAAACATCATTGGTATTGCCAGGGGACTCTTTATTTTACAAAACATTTGCAATATTCTCCACATTCAATTGAATTTGAGACTTGAAATATAAGTGAATTTGTGAGGCTCCCTAACAACCAAGAGAATCACTGGAACCTCACATTCTATAGTCTTTTTATGTAACGATTCGAATCAATCAATTTTGATGTTGAATGAAGAGTCACTTAATACGTACTGTGAGTTTCATTTGGCATCATAATGTGAATCATTAAATGACCAAAAGGGTACGGAAAAGCAGTCATTGTGATTTCAGTGGGACTGTCAATTCGAGTCACTGATGTGATGAGTGACATGAATGTGATGCCCTCTCATATATCTATGGGATCAATCTGTGTTAACTGGGGTTCAGAGGCACATATATACTCAAGGAATATTCGGTGGATATTCAGAATATACTCTTCTCTTTAAGCATATTTAGAGAATATACTTGGAATATTTAGTACAGTCTGGGAAAATTCATACGCCGCGCGTCGTCCGGTCCTGTGGAATTCAAACGGCGTTACAACTGACTTTGGAAAGACTATACCGATGTCACGTTAATTCAGTCATGATATATCCATACCTATTTATGTTGATTTCCTTTTCGGAAAATATCTTCCTGAGTCACTGAATTGGAATGAACGATGTGAAATCAATAACCAAATATGCAATAATATCTGATACATTTCTCTAGACGATCTCTGAGTACGTTCCAATATGGAATCGCAACTACAAACACCTATTTAGGTTATTTTAGCAAATGATGTAGCCAGAGCTGGCCGAATATTCTGAAGAAAGTATTCAATTATCTAGTGAATTGAAATCAAATATTTTTCACATGTTCATTATATAGAATATATAATTATCTAAATAGTTCACACTAAGTATTCAAATATTTCAAGACGATTCAAATAGATATTTGGATATTTTCAAATTATTTGAATATTTCCAAGGTATTCATATATTCCCAAAGTAAGTATGCAAATGTTCATGATATATTATATTCATTTATAAGATACTCAGGACTCAAGAGGACAGTTCCTTCTAATAATGTTATTATAGGCTGCAAATTTTCACTTATGATGTCAAGAATTAGGAGACTTGAGACATCCGCAAAACATCACTAAAAGCTTCATTATTAACAAAATACTCAAGAAAAAACATTTTTCGTTTTTTAATAACGTTCTTTCCCTTACATCCTTGAAGATGTGAAAACCTTTTGCCCCGAAGGTCTGTGTTACGTCTTCAGGTCGATCTTGGTGGATTGTGAGAGGATATAATATATTTTGCATTTGCATGTAGGAAATGGTAACAGGTATACGTCCTCTAGACGATGTTATCTGGGAATTAACCAATCAATGAAGATATGTTCTGATTGAGAAAGCAGACAGAGTCTACATGAATAAAAATCAAAAATATTGAAATGAGTAAGCTATCAATATATTCCAACAAATATCTGTAGGTAATTATGAATATAATTTACAGGCTTGAGTAATGAATATTTGAATAGTGATGGTAAATATACAAATACTGTCTAGCTCTGGTTGCAGCTACCTTGAATGAAGAGGTCACGTTATTAATTTCATTGTGTATATACCTATCTACCTACCTAATATGCCTCCAGTTAGTCCAGTTGGCTAGAATTTCAATGAATGCGAATGTCGCGTCCTCAAGACAAGTTCAAAAATTATTTAACAGATCTTGTACAGATTTGGTTGATCCAGTGCAAAGTCTCACTCTACCTCCAATATTTTTCTAAGTAATTGCATCACAAACCTGATTCATTCAGGAACTTCGCATATCTTCAAATTGTTAATCTAGACGTATATTCATATATCGAATTCATATACCTATCGCTTATTCGAGCTGAACCATAAATGATGATAGTCCTTCCTTTTGACCCAAATCAAATATTTCACTAGAACTGAACACAGAATTTTCAAGACTTCTGCCTATCGTCTGAACCATCAGAATAACAAGAACACACAGCCAACAAAAATTATAAGAACATTTTCTTGATGAAAATATTCACATATTTCAGTCATGAGTGTGACAATCCCAAAAATTCCAAAACTGTTTCAAAAAAAAAATAGAAAAAATGTCCTTCTGAACGGGAAGGCTTTCTGAAATTTTTGAAAAAGTTCACATTAACATCCTGTCGAATCTCATGTTTGAGTGACGTAGTTCATTTCCATAGGTTCAGTGAAAAACAAATGGCCCACGACAGGTGTCGAGGTGGCTATGTCAGATAATTGCGGCCTTCTTGTATCGGTAGTAATGACTTGACTATTTAAATCACATTGTTCAGTTGTCAAGTTCTGATAGGTCTGTCCGTCTGTCGAAAGAATGAATAATAATTAAAAGGTAGACAAACTGGAATATTTCACTTTCTCAATACCCTTAATTTTTTACTCCTGAATGAGCATTCACTCTCCGGCAAAAAAAATTGGCAACAAAAAATTTTGCCAAATTGATTTAATTCTAGTCCGGTTCTGGTAACATTTCGACCAAATCGTATATTCATATTCCAGAATATGGGCATGAATTTTGATTCTTGAAGAAAGCTGATGGCTTGATCATCATACAGAGATAAACAAAAGTTACCTTTTCCCGCTTAATTTCAATGTTCCGTGGCAAATGTGAGAGGTAAAACTTAGCTTTATTATGTTTTGGATTGAAGTGTGATGTTTTTCATTCGCGTCAATGTCTTCTTTTTCAAAAAAAGATCCCTAATAACACACTTATGTCCCATGGATATCCTTAAGGACATTCATTCGAATTTGGTACCGTGGACGTCCATTGGACGTCTGTGGGACGCACAAATGTCCCACTTGAGGACCAACTAGGGACGTCCTTGAGGGATGTCCCTGGGACAACTATCAAATACCTAAACCCTACAGTATTTCTCATCAAGCACTACAGAGGACATCCTTAGGACATCCTTGGGACATCCAAAGGAGAACCTATCAGCAACGCTGAGGGATATCAATATAAGGTGTAAGTTGACGTCCTCGCAGGGAAAACAAATTGGAAGTACCGACTGGGACGTCCATAGGACGTTATTTCTAGGACATTGGAAGAGTACAGTTCATGTACCAATTGGGACATCCGACGGATATCCCTAAGGAACATCCGAAAGATGTCCCTAAGGGACATTTCTATTGTTATACGATCCTGGAAATATTGAGAGCGTCTGTGCGGAGATATTTGAAGGAATGTACCATCAGGGACATTTTATGGTTGTTCAGAAGGGACATTATATAAGATCTGAAGTCATATGCCAGAATATGTACTACTCGGGACATCCGATGGATGTCCCTAAAGGAACGTTTAAAATCATATCCCATCAGGGACATGCCAAGGACGTCCTTGCATTTATATTCTACAATATGTACCACGTGGGACATCTAAGGAATGCTATTTCTAAGACAATTGAAATGATGTACCAGCTGGGACATTCCGTGGACGTCCTTGCTCGGACATTGCATGAGATGTACGGGATGGGACGTCCCAAGGACACTTATTTTTGGTTCGGGACATTCGGACGTGAATTGTACCAAATAGGGACGTCCCTAGGACGTTGTGTGCTATCAGGGATCCAAGCGTGTGAAGAAAATATGGATTTTTCAATTATTTATCAACAATAATTCAGAACCATCTTCATCATGTTTTGGATCGAATTTCGATCCTTTTTCGTCTCTTCTTAACCCATCAGTTCTTGATTCACGTCGATATTCCAAGAGAAGATACAAGTGTTTCAAGAAAATATGGAAAATATGTTTCCTTATTGGTCAGATAATCTTTCATTCCCACTCATGTAGCTACGTTGTCAAGTCACCAATT